AGTGAACAAAAACACCAATAGGAACAACTGAATGCATCAGAGTACAAAATTAAAGAATCTCTGAGAGCCACATAGCAATTAATTCGTTTGCAAAATGTCGATCAATCGTCTCAGATTTTTACCGTTCCTTCATTTCTACATCAATCACTCTCTATTCTTGTTCGCTTTTCTTCGATTTTGTCAACCTTCTGCCTCCCGGTTCTCCATTTTCGATTGGTGTTGTATACTTGTAGTGTCGGTTATTATGTTAAGCCGATATACTTTATTCTAGCTTTCGGATAGCCCATTCTATTCATTCTACTTGAGTCACATTCTGACCTTGTTATTTATTCAATCTTGACTGTTTTTATATGAGCGCGTAGGTGTGTGTACGTTTCTTATCCCATTTACTCATCACATGTCTGTAACTTACTTTTGTGTAACCATAAATATTGATTACCACTTGGTTACCCGCCATATCCACTGTGGGTCGTTTTGCCTTGTTTTATTCCATTCGTTCTATATACAAAATATATGTATTCAAAAGTCCATTCTTGTTATTTGACTTATTAAATTGTGTTATTGACTAACGCGATTTAAGTCGATGAGTATAATACGAGAATGGGCGACATATATATTTCAACAACAATCATCATTACAATCTCCTTGGAATCAGAATCCGAGCCACTAAAGTGAAGAGCCCTTTCGACAACATTATCCGATCTAAATGATGACAAAATTCAAGGGCCCCACATACTACTTATATCTGTCGATATCAGTAGCAACCACAATAATATATATACATATATATAGATTATAGTAAAATAAACAACCTAATTAATATTAATGAAGTAATAGGACGTTCCCTTTTTTTTTGGTATTTAAGGGAAAAAAAATTACTTTCCACCTCAATAAGATAATCATAATTGTTGGCATTAATTATCATATGAATAAATAAAATGTTCACGCTTAAATAATCATCAATTTGAATTGGTTATAGTAACGTTGAGGTTCCCTTTTTGCTCTCCCTTTCTCTCTTTCATTCTCACTTTTACTCTTACTCTTTCTATACTTCATCAATAATACTTTTAGTACTAATGATAAATTTTAATTGGAATAATTTGTCATATGATAATATCGTTTTAATTAAAAAGATTTTAGTATTTAGATGAACTCTTCTACTTTTTTTTTGAGAGAGAGAGAGAGAGAGAAAAGGAGAGATAGAGGAAAAAAGCTAAGATCAATTAAATGTAAGTTGTGGGTTCGAATCCCTTAGGTGGGATCATGGATGAGCATTGCTGAGGAGTTATATACCATGACGAGATGGTCGTCTAGCTTTAATTGACCCATGAATTCAACTATTCATTATTATTAATCAATTTGAATTAGTCAATAGAAAATCGTAGAACAAGATTGCATGCTTGTTAATCCTGATTAGTAAGGTGTACCTGTATGTAATTCTTAGAATAACTAAAACTGATCCATGTGAAATTTGAACTTTGAGTCATTGTCAATTTTACAGTTATCACTAAGTTGTTCGGATCATGACAGATCTTGTATAAGGCTGTGATACTTTCATTCATTTATCATTGATTAGTGAGTAATCAATGATAATCGGTTGTTTTCAGCGTACTTACTCTAGTAAACATCATGTTTCAACATAGAGAGTAGTATTTATTTGTACCCAACATATCATCAAACTGCATCATGCGGCAAGCTCTAATTGGGAATCTTGAAGGGAAGCGGAAAACTGGAAGGCCAAAGAACACATTACGTCGGGAAATAGAAGTAGATATGAAAAGGATGAATAACAACTGGAAAGAACTGGAAAGTATTTCCCAGGACAAAGTTCAATGGAGAGTGCCGGTGGGAGGCCTATGCTCCTCCACGAGGAGTAACACACGCAAGTAAGTAAAATATTCTCGACAACATAAACACGTTTCAAATATAAATTCAATATCTAATGTCTATCATGCAAACTACACAATTCAAATTCGTCCCTCTTACAGAATGTCATCCAAGAGAAAACTATGCATAAATATTTAATACAAACATAAAGAACGGAGTCACACATTATAATCTTCTTGTTCATTTACATATGGACGACATTTGAGTAACGCTAGACTGACCTTGATAGTATCCACCTAATAACTAGGATCAAATGAAGGTTATAAACCAGAGTGAGGGATTCGAATTCTAATTTAAAGTTGATTGTCAAGGTTAGGCATTAGATTTAGGGTTTTCATCACAAACTAACATCATCTATAATGTCAAAACTCTATTTTTAACACCAAATGGATGAATGAATTTCATGCCGAAAACCGGAGTCCTGTTATCTTATACCCCATTGGTTCATTCATAAATTATAATCCCGCCCACTTCACTAATAAAATTCATTATTTAATAATGATTTTTATAAATGTATCTCCTCCAAAAGCAAAATTTTTTTTTATTTAGCTGATCTTATCTAACTAGACAAATAAATGAATTACAAGCATAATTATCAAGATCTAAATGAATCTTTTCTTTGTTTTACAGTTCTATTCATCATTGATCTTTACCTACCGGCATATCTATATACATATATATGCATAGTAACTAAAAAATGTATAACTTAACATGAAAAAAGTTCTTGCCGAAATATAAAAGCAAATTTTTTTTAGAAAGCATCTGTAGAGATTTTATCATTATAAAAATTTTTATTTGTAGATGTTCAGTATGAGTATTTGTGTAGGTTGTAGTAGTTTTTTATGGGAGAAATTACAGGTAGTTAATTGCTTCCCACGTTTTCAATGGTGGTCTAGGTTAGATCGACTAGTGAATTGAAATGTGGAAATCTATTTTTTTATTTTGTCTGTAAGATGATTTTTTCTTATACATTTTAAACTACTTAATAGTAGTTAAAATTGTATAAACAGTTTTTTTCGAGGGCATTATGATGATTTATTTGAGGTGACGGTAAGCGGATTCATTAATAATCAAGAATGAAGAATATTTGAAAAGCGACAGATAAAGAATCAACGTGACACTCAAATTTTTTTATTTATCCTGGGAAAAGCATAAATTTCTTCAAAAACTAGAAATATTACTCCGAAAGTAGCATAGGCCGCCGACAAGCAATCTCCAACCCACTCTGTCATGGGCCTTCATTTCTACTTCTATCCAATTATTGTTCATTCTGCTCATGTCTGTCCTCATTTCTCGGTGTAATGTGTTCTTTGGTATTCAAATTCTCCTTTGACCTTGTGGATTTCTAGTGAGGGCTTGCCTTGTGACGTAGTTGGATGCTTTCCTCAATGTGTCCTATCCATTTCCAGAGCTTCTTCTTGCGCTGGGATCTGGTTTGTCCTCTCCCACAGTAGGTTGTTGCTGATAGTGTCTGGCCTACAGATCAGGCACGCCATAGTATCGAAGAACCTTCCATAGTGTTGTCCTATCCACGCTATCAAATACCTTCTCGTAGTCAATGAAGTTCATGTAGAGCATAAATTCCATTCAATTGATTGTTCCACAATGATCCATAGTGTACCGATTCGGTCTGTACACGATCGATCCTTACGGAATTCAGTCTGTTTAACTCGAAGTTGGGAGTCTACAGAGCTCTTCATTTTGTTTAACAACATCCTATTGAAGACTTTTCCTAGTATTGAGAGAAGAGTGATACCTCTGTAGTTCTCACGTGCAACTAATAAGGGATTATTTTTATTTGTTTCGTTGGTAAACTATTAAAAATTAGAGAGTATGAGACAACCATTAAATTATGTATTCGATCTCTTGTGAGTATCCACTAGTAAGCAGTCCTCATACCGAATCAAAATATGGTTCAAAGAGATAGAGCGAAAAGGTGATTATTGAGTGGATACTGAAATTCAAGAACGAGGGGAAGACATTATCGAGTAAATGTATCTTTATCTCCAACCAGTGAACATAGTTATTTAGCAGACAAGAACCAGATAGTCAGTATCTACCAAACATGGCTTAGAGCAATTGTCAATGACTTCACAAACTGATGAAATGTTGCGGATTGGAGACTTTTAGCGTTTTCCTAATGAAAACTTACAACGGCAAACATCGTCCATCGAAGCAGGCCTACTCTTTAATCATGTGATCACGGGAGAGTAAATCAGTTGCTCTTAAGAAATAATTAGTACCTAAGATTGATGAGTCCTCATTGGTAATTGATAAAAAGGTGAATTGATGAATTTCCTCTAACTTAGTATAACAAATTACGATAATTTTTATTACCCATGTGGTATCAAATTTATCTTAAATTGATTATACTCGATACATTATTAATTTATATTCAGTATGATGATCCTCTGAGAACGCTCCACTGTAGAACATTCCAACTTGCTGGATGATTAAAAAAAAACGGATAAAGCGAAGATTATAGCTTGAAATGAAGTCTCCAGTGAAAAATATGCTCTTATATACAGCATTCACTCACTAAATGAACGGAACTATACCATAAGTATTACACACATATTGAACACTGAGAAGTAGGTGTACTACAAATTCCTGGATATGTATCTTATCCCTATTATGAGTTATTGATTCGACTATATCAAAACCTGTCTTTCGACATATATACACATGTATGTATGATAAGTCGGGATAAGAAGAGAGGAGTTCATGGGTTTTCTGTAACTGAGTATAACACATTCTCAGTGTAATATTTTAGTTAGTACAATATCGGGGTTTATATTTTCTAACGTTACATCAATATGTTCTGCACAAATTAAGAGTAAACTTTGTTCAGTATAACTAATGTGAACTATTTACTATGCAGTGTGGTTGATAATTATACTATTTTCAGAAGGGGTTTGTGGAGATTTTAGAACTTTCACAGATCGAAATCATGAGTCAATTGAAGCGAGGTTTTCCATGGTGATCTACCTTCAATTGACTCATGATTTCAATCTGTGAAATTATACTATTTGTATTATTCTGTATGATATTCATTTGTGTTTTACAGTGACCCCATGTATCATTTCATTTGTATAATGTTTGTAAACTAAACATTGATTGTGTGTAAAATCTGTATATTAATGAATGTATTTGGGTTAACAACGATATGATTTCACAGATTTAATAAACCTTCATTGTATCAACCTTTTGTAATTCTCACTTTATACCATAGAAATTACAATGGTTATCGATTATCAATGAAAAACATTATTACCCCAGATACTACAGTAAGAAATGTAAGTCAATTAAGACTTCTTATCAACTATTATACTTATCAATCAACCTAACTAGACCCCCCTTAACATCAACTTCAAATCTATTGTCTATGAGAAATAAGCAAAGGATAATCGAAAAAAAATAACTATTCTTTATTGCCCACCGAATAAATAATAGTAGTGTAATATATACTACTAAATACTACTAATAAATTGAGAAAAGTCAACATGATAAAAGTAGAAAGATTGAACTAACCAACTTTTTTTTCCTGAGAAAAATAACACAAACAAGAACAAAATCAACAAAGAGAAAGAGGGGGGTGGAGAAAAAGAAAACTAATCGTTTCTCATAATGATTTACTTGGTTGATCAATACGTAACAAATGATTAGCTATTGAAAAATAACAACGATAGGATACAGTTGGACCATATGTATCAAAATGACAATGTCCACAATTTGTTTGATCTTGATTAAAACAATGAAAATGCTCTAAGCGTAGACCAAGATGATGCTGGAAAAAAAGGAGGAAAACAACAACAACAACATAAAATTAGTTTGGTTTAAGAGGTTTGGTAGAAATTGATTTTCAATTTATAAGTTGTGTCCATCAAAAAGAGAGATACGAGTTGAGATAGTATTGAAAAGCGGGGAACACTAGACAGTTGTCTCATCGTGACATGTCAAGAGTAAAACAGTTTCTGCACCAATAATATAGGATGACATTCACGCTACATCATGAACTGATTGAAGTTCAAATAATACCACTAGAAGACAGTATCAGTGGTCCGAACTATTCAGTATTAGCCACGAGATCTGAAGGTCCTGAGTTCGATTCCTAGTTGGGCCAAAGACACACATTAGTGAGGAGTACAATGCTAGGACAAAACGGACACTCAGTATGCAACAATTAGTAATGTTATCCGCCTATGCGATATGGACAGAGGCATTATCCTAATCTTTCTGTCACCGGTATGTGTGTGATAAAACATCTCTCAATGATACATTGTATCTCTCATGTTTATAAGTGTTGTCATATTTTGATAAAATCGAGTAGGCCTGTTTACCTTCACAAATCTACATCTCTGATCGTCTGTCTGCATTAAAGGATGTCTGAAAAATACGTTTCTAAAAGTATCTTCATATTTGACATCTGATATAACGTTCCTTTAAACGTGTCAAGTCTGTAGAACACATATGAAGCCAATTAGAACATAAATATTTCATTAGCATCAATATCGTCCGATCATTTAGGAAGTTAGACAATAGGCATTAAAAGCGTTCCCTGATTTTCGATTATACATTAAATGAGATAAAACTGAGACGAATAGAACTAAAAATGAGATAGATTATTAACTGTTGGAGAATAACTTTCATTTCTATTCCAGTCAAACTAATCAATAAACCAGTCATCTTTCTAAAGACAGATATAAATTATAAGTGAATGAAAAAAACAAGATCTCTGACGACGGGGTGTGCTACAAAGACGCCACAACGTGTTTAAAGAAGGATTAGGAGAATGTACGAAAGCCCTAAAGTTATCTACTTTATTTAGCTGCTTTGGAGTTTCGGAGATCTTAGTAACTGAAAATTGCTCGCAATTCATTGCAGAATCGTTTAATTATTTCTGTAGCACAAATGGAATAACTCATCTTTGTTCTCCACACTATCATCCGCAATCAAATGGACAAGCAGAACGTTTTGTGGACACTTTTAAACGAGCATTACTGAAAGGGGGAAGCGAGGGGACAACTGAACAGGTCATCACAAAATTTTTAACGACCTACAGAACCACTCCGAGCCCAACCGTCCCAGATGGTAAGTCTCCCGCTGAGGCCATGTTTGGAAGGCGTATTCGGACCATTTTCAACGACATGTTGCCACCCAAAATAGCGGATGGACACAGTCACAATCTTAATATCCGAAGCTTTAATGTTGGCGACAAAGTGTTCATTAAAACCCACCTCGGATAGAATCGATGGGAACCGGGATAAGTCGTACGCAGATTGGGAAATGTTTTGTACAGAGTCCGAGGAACCTTTGGAACACGTATCTGATATACAAATCAAATCCATAAAGATAAAAGAACGATGCGTATTCAAAATAATCAGCCGAATTTTCCGTTAGAGTCAATCTCAGACACATCAACACTATATACGCACAAGAACACTGAAAATAAGTTTTGGACAAGGAAGACAGTAAAAATAATGGAACGCCGCCACAAACCAGTTGTCAAGCTACAAGTGGATTCTAGGAAGAAATCTTGTTCCGAGGAGGTGTTGAGTCGGATTCCGAGAACTACAACGGAACCTCCAGAGGCCCTAAAGGAGCCTAAGAGTTCCCATCCAATCAGAACACGATAGAGCTTCCTAGAATATTAACGTGGCATGCTACAATTGAACAGTAACATAATACGTCTCCTTGCGGATTGGCCGAATTATAATGTCGATTTAACAAATGTTAATATCTATAAATAGCCGTGATTTTCTGTACATTTCGATTTTTACCAAATAAACACTTCTGCAGCTTTTCTACTGTCTCCTGATTTGCGACGGTGAAGTTCCAACGTTCGAGAATCGTAGTCGTAAAACGTATGCTGCGTTAATCAAGTAGCGAACTTAACGGATAGTGACAATAATAATAGTAATTAGTGATAATAACATTGATAGTAGTAAGAATAATAATGGCAACATTAATGATGATAATAATAATAATGTAAGTTCAAAGACTTAGTCCTGATAATATATGTTTAGGTCTCACTAGAAAGGGGTTAACACTTTGAAAACTGTTGAAAATTAGGTAGATATGATCAATAAATTGATGAACATGTGAACATCTGTCGACTGTGATGATTGAAACACATGTTACGCATTATATCTACCCATCATCTATAATGGCGTGCTCCATGCTGGTGATTAACATAAGAGTAGGTAATGAGAATTGCTTTATATCATTCTTTCTACCAAATATTTTTTCTTCTTGTACTATATCCTTATATGGAATCTTTCTTTTATATATTACCACCATGGAATAAACTAATTCTATGAATTCGGTGTTCATCTTGTTGTGCTAATGAGGTATGGCAACTTGGACCGATGCATATATGTGCCTGGTCCTACGTTGTAGCTGACTGACTGAGGTAGTAAGAAGTCTAGAGGAGACCAGGTTAAAATGTAATATTATTTCATGAAGACATTGGACTTTTTTCGACCAGAATATTTTTACATTATAGCTGATGTCAATTTGCGACGAAAACGCTAGCCTCCTCACACCATAAATACCTAAGTCTAACCAAGAACAAAATGGTGATTCTCAAAAATCTCTTTAGATCCTTTTAAGGGTTCAATAAGATGATCATTAGGACGGGTTTATATATTATTTTCTCGATTAACAGACAGAGTAATATCATTGTTTACTTTTCCATAAATTATCCATTTAATAAAAGCTCTTCTCTGATTGACTAGAAACTAGCTGGAAATTTGTCCCGACTATTTTAAGTTCGTCAGTATACTACGCTGTTACTGATTAGATTATCATTACCATATGGTAGTGTTATTATTCTCAATCATTTGTTTTAGCATAAGGGTAAAATAATTGAGAAAGATAGAATATTGAAGATTATTCTACGATGGATTATTACATAAACTACTCATATTGCGTATTTATCAAAGATTTATTTGAATGGGATAAATTGTATCACGTTAATAGTAAGCTTGTCATTGAACTCATTAACTGTTGGGAAATTACAGCTTATTAATCACGTGCTTGTTGCTCAATTTTAAGCTACAAATAACCTAGAGAATGTGATTTCCCACTTATGATATATTGCGCATTATTTTATTATTTATTTATTTTAACACATAGATATTGGTACAAAGAGGCACCAAATATATACGCGCCACACAGATCTCATTTGATATGTGTGAGGGCTGTGATACTGACTGGGTACCCAAACCGAGGCAGGCGGTTTTCTTAGGGGGCCACTCCCCGAGCCTTCGACCTGAAGGTCTGATCCACAAGGCAGTGGAGCGACGTAAGGAGATGCATTCCTATGGTAGCCGGTGACCAACAATTGGTGCATACGCCATTTGTTCCCGCAGGATACTGGAGCCCATGTGCACCATTGGTTTGGGATCCGGTTAAAGCACCGGACATTCGCTTTTCGTCCTCGCAATTTCGTAACCAACACCCCCGCCACGAGAAGGCAATGAGTAGGACTTCCCTGACAGAGGTTATATACGCGTGGCCATGTGAGAGCATTTGGAGAGGGGGAGCGGACTCTCCTCACTCTCGGCCGTACCAGGGCATTTGGGAGCATACTGCGCATTAATATTTGATGTATATATATAATGGTCATGTGAAATTTTTTTAAGTCAGAAAATATATACACCATTAATCTGTAAGATTTTCTCATGTCTTAAATGGGCAGTTTGAAGACAGAAAGAGTTTAAATGAACCAATTCACGTCAGTAAACTTGGTGGATGAGTAAAGGCTACTAGGGCCTAACAGAACAAAAAGAGGACTAATTCATTAATGGATTTAATAAATCGGTGGACGTATAAAACTTGGAATCTGTGATAATTTGCTTCTAGTTTTGTTCTTGCACTGTGAGAATACTTCGGATATAGGAACTTGAATTGACTTATTGATCTGTTTTAAGTAATATACTTCTTACGGTCGATTGATTGATAATAACATATCAAGAAGAAATTCCACACTGAATATCATCTCTAACAGGTTAAATCAATTGACAATTTATTTAATTAAATATAAAGGGATATCATCATATGTAATAAAGGAACAACATAAACAACTTACAGGATCATGTGATACAGCAATTCCAACTGAAATCACAGGAGATTCCATTTCAAACATTTTAATCCAATTACGAAGTTTCTCACCTGAATCAATTGGTTCTTGTGAGAATTCAGGCTGTAAATAAACAAAGTTCGGGCGGGGTCAATGGAGGCCGGTTTGAGTAAAGACCAAAAGTCAAACAATGAAGAAAGGAACTTCGTAAACTACAACTTCATCCTAAAGACTTATTATTAATTAATATTCAAACACATAAAGATTGGTATGAAAGGGCACCCAAATATATATGCACCCCAAAATGTAGTTCCCATCAAATTTGTGTGGAACAGGGTACTGCCCGGGTAAGCAAACCGAAGTAGATGGTTTCCCAAGAAGGCCACTCTACGAGCCTTTGATCTAGAAATCTAATCCACAAGGCAGTAAAGCAGCGTGTGCAGATGTGGTTCTATGGTAACCAGTGACCAACAATAGGTTCATACACCACTTGTTCCCTCAGGATCCTGGAGCCCATGTGCACCAATGGTTTGGAATCAGTGTTTTCCAACTTCCCTAGGTGGATCCTTAGTATCCACCGACCTGTTAAAGCGCCGAACATTCTCTTTTCGTCCTCTCAATTTCGTAAACAACACTCCCTTCGAGGGAAGGCAGTGAATAGGATTTCCCTGGCTAAATATGTGGGATCATATGAGAGCATTCCCAGAACGAGAGTGGACTCTTCCACCCTTGGTTGTACTAGGGTATTCGTGAGCATCTTGAAGACTAAGGACTTGACTGTTGATTTCCTCTTTCAAGATAATCTTTAGTAAAGTGAGCAATATATGTAGTAAAAGTATATAGTTATTTGCCGTAATTACACTGAAAGACAAGACTAATCCAGTAAAAGAATACTCCCATAGTCTCTTCCTTTTCTCCTAGTTACTTTGTAGAACTTATGAACAGAAATGATAAAACCCGTAAGTTGATACCTACTAGGTAGTTGATTAAAACTGTATTTCGTCTCACTTCAGTTTGATAGGCCGACTAGTAGAAGTGAATGCACCAAACAAGTCTTCATTGGGGTTTCACTGTGTTAGTTCGAATCTTATCTATGCCATTAGATGTCTACTGTTCGAACGTTCAAATACTCCTACACTTGAGCCTCGAATAAAAGCTTTACTTTGAGGTTAATTAATGTACAGAAAACAAGGTTATTTACAGATTTACAAATGGCCTTAACGTTCTAAACGCTTCTGAAAACTCACTAAATTTAGTGGCAGAATATATAACCTTTTATTTTGAAAATGTTCTTGGTTTGATTAAACGAGATATTCTCAGTCTTTTTCTGGCCTGTAGAGACTTTATCGAAGAACCCTTGGAAGTTTCCAACACATAGACACACGAAACTAGTGGTGCACAAACTACTTACGTGGATTCATATTTACTGATTTCGTAAAATATATTTACCAAGTCTAAGTTTATGTACTGTAGACTTTAATCCACATTATTTGAATGACGGCTAGTTTACAGTAAGCGACTGAATGAATTTTAGGCGCTCAACATGAGCCCTGAATGTTCTAGATCAGATTTTTAATGTGGTCATAGATGTGCACTGCACTGCCATTGCTGAGCTTCATATACTAGAAATGAAACAGCTGCCTAACTGTGTTTCACGACTTTTAATGGTTGTCGAACCCAAGTCAAACCATGATGCAAAACTTCTAAATTCAACAATCTTTTCAAAATCCTCATGGAAAAAATAATATGACAATTGGAAATTTTGTAAAATACAAACAAAAAAAGAGAAACGCTTACAAGAACGTGATACAATGATTTGCCTTTTTCTTGAACTATAACTCCACCCAAACCAACAGCATTATTTAAATGACCATATTTTACATGTAATGCTTCACGAATCATAGCATCGAATTTTCCATCTTGAATACGCCCAGATACATTTAATTCGATAACCTTTATTTAAAAAGAAAGAAAATCATAAATCTTTACACTAAACAATTAATAACTTACGAGACATTAACAACTTTAAATCAGAATAATAATGATTAATCTGCATATATATTTGTAACTTGGCAGTGAATAATTTGGATAGATACATGTATATATATATATGCCCTATTTTGTACGTGACTGCTTTCTGTTGTACCCCCTGCTTCGATTTGGGCACCCGGGCAGTATCACAGCCCTAACACATATCAAATGAGATCTGTGTGGCGCATATGTAATTGGTGCTTCTTTGTATCAATATCTATGTGTACACGGTCTTATTTACTTATACTTGACAATTCGGAACCATTGTAATTCCTAAGCCTAAGGAGAAAACAAAGACTAGTACGTACGAATATATAACAACACAACATGTCATCCAAGAAGGTGTCATCGTTAACCCAAATACACTCATTTATATACAGATTTTACACACAATCAATGTTTAGTTTACAAACATTATACAAATGAAAAGTTACACAGGGTCACTGTAAAACACAAATGAATATCATACAGAATAATACAAATAGTATAATTATCAACCACACTGCATAGTAAATAGTTCACATCAGTTATACTGAACAAAGTTTACTCTTAATTTGTGCAGAACATATTGATGTAACGTTAGAAAATATAAACCCCGATATTGTACTAACTAAAATATTACACTGAGAATGTGTTATACTCAGTTACAGAAAACCCATGAACTCCTCTCTTCTTATCCCGACTTATCATACATACATGTGTATATATGTCGAAAGACAGGTTTTGATATAGTCGAATCAATAACTCATAATAGGGATAGGATACATGTCCATGAATTTATGGTACACCTACTCAGTGTTCAATATGTGTGTAATATTTATAGTATAGTTCCGTTCATTTAGTGAGTGAATGCTGTATATAAGAGCATATTTTTCACTGGAGACTTCATTTCAAGCTATAATCTTCGCTTTATCCGTTTTTTTAATCATCCAGCAAGTTGGAATGTTCTACAGTAGCATGTTCACAGAAGATATTCGTAAACAGCTTTAGATAACTAAAACGAAATCCTCAACAGGAATTACACTCTCATATGTAGTACTGAATGAATGAAAAAAATGATCAAGTGTCAAATATCGATTAAATTTTTATTGAACATTGAAAAATATTTTTCCGCAAAACTTTTAAAAACATCCTACCTCAAAATGGTATTTAACACAAAAATATCAGGCTTTACAGTTTGATCTTACAAATGAATAGTTTTAAAATGCTTCAACAATTTTCTATTCCCGAATACTCTTAAAAGGTTCCATATTAATAAGACAAATACTTGACTGTAGTTATGTCATACAGTAGACGTAACAACAAATTTTGAGGGTATAACCATAGATATGAAATCAATGGTGGTGGGTTCAAGTGTTAACGGAGTAGGTGCTCAATCTGTCTTGATCCACAATTTCTTTTTCTATTAAAATACGCCAAAGTTACGACAAATTGATTTTGCACACATAAGATGGAATCAAATTTACAATCAGCCAATGTTTCAATAAGCCTAAGAATTCGTTCTTGACAATTTCAATACAATGTCATAAAAGCTACATTGATGTCAATTTTGTGCCCCGTATCAATTATATGTTTCTCTATCGGTGAACATGGTTTTCTACCTCTCACATTGATCGGATCATTTGACACTAATTGGTTTTGAAGCCATCTAAACACATGCTCAATGACCCTTGATTGCACTGTTCGATTACTCCTCCCAATGTATGTGTCCACACAAACATGTAAATTGGTAAATGTTATATCCCGATGAGAATAATGAATGTTAACTGTTGGAATCTATTTCTGGACTAATACTGCACGTATATTTTTATTGTATAATTGTTAAGTGACTAAACTATTCATATTCGTGTTCCTCTTGTCACGAGGTCTATTTTGACCTATAGACTATTATTATACGACTTGAGTTATTGTAGTGTGTGCTATTTATATTGACATAAGTAGTAGATGATGTTAGTCGTGAACAGAATGTCTGGCAGCAAAGAGACAAGAGGATCAAACAGTAAAGAATGGAAACAGAATGCAATTTGTATGAAGATGCAAGAACAATGAAGTCTGATTGATTATGAGACAACTGATGGACATTTTGCAAATTACGTATTTAATATTTGATTGTTAGATTTTATTAGCAAGTCCTATAATTTTGTGTCAAATATATTCGATTGTCCCTACTGGTGTTCTTGTTCACTACATTATGACCTGTATCAATTACTATCTCCCTTATTCACAACTACATTTGGCTAATTCTTGTACAAATGTCATTTTCTATTTCATAGTGTGATGTGGTCTGTTTGGTTTGTGTATAAACCCAGTATGTTTGAAATAAATGATTCATATCTCAGAGGTTGAGATTGGTGTTCTGGAAATAACAGGCAGGGCTAGGCGGGAAGCAGGATCGGTAAGGAGTCTAGACTGCTCGTGCAGGTTTCCAGCATCATTGGTCCAGTCGATAAGTCATTGTTCTCTAATTGGCGGTATCATCCCATTATACATTAATAGGACACAGGGCACAAGTTACAACAGTAAATACAATGAGATGTGACACAATCACTTGTGCATTGTCTAGGTCTATTTGGAATCATGAACTTAGACTTTTCAATCACAACCAATTGAGCAGCATAATAGGTTTTCTCGATGGTTGCTTTCAATCTCTGTCTTAAAACTATACTATTGGATTCACCTCTATGTGGTAGATGGATATAAGCTTTTTCTTCGGGACCGAATAAACGAGAGGTCTTGGCGTTGACTGACTTTTGCACCTATTATTAAACATTAGTGGATAACCATTTGATAATAATGTGTCAGTCAGCAATCTTTTTCAACCATGTCAGTAGTGAGAATTCTTTGAATCCTATTAAAGAGACACTTAATCAAGCCTAGCTTGTATTGCGATGGATAGAAACTCTGGAAATTTACTTATTACTCCATGCAAGCTGGTTTCCTATAAACTGACCGTTTTATAGTACCATCCTCCCTTCGACTCAAAGGTATGTCTAAAAAGGGCAATTGGCCACTATTTTCTGCTTCATAAGTCATCACGATATCGTTTTGAACCCCATTTAGCTTATCTAATAATCGAGAAACCTCAAAATCTTTATCACATATAACTAGTATATCATCCATGTATCTTTTATACATAGTTGCCTCACTAATGAGCTCACTCGTCATATGCGGATGCGTGATCGAGTGCCTACAGTTAGATGTGTGTGTCCAGTAAAACTAATGAGGTCAGCATCAATGTCGAAGTATTTATTTATTTAAACACAAACATTAGTACAAAAGGGTACCAAACAGATATGCGCCACATAAATCATTCGATTTGTGTGAGGGCTGAAATACTGTCCGGGAGCCCAAACCGAAGCAGGTGGTTTTCTTAGGGGGCAACTCCATGAGCCTTTAACCTAGGAGTCTAATCCACAAGACAGTAGAGTAACGTCAGGAGATGTAGTCCCATGGTAGCCAGTGACCAACAATATGTTGATAGGCCATTTGTTCCCTGAGGTTCCTGGAGCCTATGTGCACCACTGGTTTGGAATCAGGGTTTTCCAACTTCCCTAGTCGGGTACTCCGGACCCACCGATCCGTTGGAGCACCGAACATTCTTTCTTCGTCCTCTCAGTTTTGTAAACAACACTCCCTTCGAGGGAAGGAAGTGAGTAGGACTTCCCTGGCAGTGGTAACGAAGACATACAGAACTATTCATTTTAAGCATTTATTTACCGCTAAACATATTTTGAAACAACAAAAGAGTAGCAAATAACTTAACATCAGCCAATAACCTGAGTAATTTGCAAACGATTACTAGAACTTACAAGAATGAAAACGTTTCAATGAATAAAATTTCCTTTTTTTATTAAGGGATATTAATTTTGGTGGAGTTTTGTTCTGAACTACTAATCTTCTCCACTATCTCAAAATACCAATTTACACAGTAGATACAAAGAACAACTGCCTACTTTACAAAGGAGGAAAAAAGAAATTGAACAAGACAATGATTAATACATAAGATTTCCGTGGTAGGACCATGGAAGACGGAAGAATTGTACTGTCTAACACTGACTCACACTCGCATAATTCATTCTAGATTTCCAGTAGATTTCAATAACTCGTAACTATTAGGTCATTTTACCTACATAATAGCTTTATTCTTCTCATACGAACTTGTGACCATCAGCACACATACACGTCTTATTAACATGCCCTTCTATTTCGATGCTTATGCGTCTTGTGCGCACTTTTGTGCATATGTTTATCACGTATTCTTTTGTCCAATGTCTGTCTCTGCTATACTACCCAATATCCATCTTCAGTTATACTAACGCTTGTATTCATTGAACATATTTTACTTCTCCGGTCTGCTCCGTTTCCCTTATTGTCTGTCTGAGGCAACGACTGTATGAACTACACATATCTGAAATTCATTCCCACTACTTGACCTACTTAATTTTCCTTAAAAGTCCCTACCATCTTAAAAGACTAATGTATGAACAGAGAGTATCCTTTTCAATAAATCCCCTTCAGCTCATATAGTTATATATCAACAATCATATAGCATTAACAATCTTATTTTATTTAACAATCCTAAATTCAAATGCTATAACGTTAAACCATTCACTTTTTCCCAAACCTCACAACTATTCCGACTATTAATTCTGATGTATAGTTGTAGAACCTGAAGAGAAGTTATACAAAAAATATTCCGCCTTCACATATGAGTCTTTCGTTTAATTCTGTTATTCTCTAATAAGAATTAATTCAATAATTATATACGAGGGTTGCCGGCATGTAGATTTCATCAACATAATCATACCATGTTCAAGATGTTACGATATCACCTTGGTACCGACAAGAGGAACGCAAGTCAACAACTCAATAACAGGACAAAGCTTAGCTGCTTGAAGTCGTACTTTCATGGGTGAAGACTTGTAACTACTACTAGGCTACTAAAATCAAAGATGGTCTGGGATTGAAATTTGCAACTCAACGGGCAAAAATTGACTAATTTACCCGCAAGTTTTGTTCTAATAATGCACACCAATAAACATCTTTCACTTCACCGTGTTATATTACAGAAACTTTCTGATACATTTAGTAAATTAGACATGGGTTAAATGGTGAGTGAGAAATTCTGAAGGGACTTAGCTCAATTTTCTAAGGAAATAAACACGCTACCGGTTGAAAATACAACTTTATTTTCCGAAGCATATGTATCTGAATCAACGAAAGAGTTGTGCATAAATTCTCAATGCGGTTAACCAATAAAAGCTTCCTACTGAGTCTTGATTTTCTCATTCAAGTAGCTGGATTCGGCACCCGTACAAGAAGCATACATATCAGCGGCAGAATTAAGCAGTCTTTACAGTTTTCTGCTATTAATTCCATTCGTGATAGACCAAGCCGAAAATAACTGTTATTTCACTTACTTTCAGTGACCCTATTCAAATCCATACGGTACTGTGTGACGAAAGACGACTAATTAATAAGTAATTTGAAATGTTATTGATTTTAATGATGAAATGTAAACTTTAACCAATCACTAGTGATCTCTTTCTTTCATCTAAGTTTCCGTAGAATGCATAGAAACTTAAAACAAAAAGGGGGAGAAATTAAAATTTCAATGTGAATTATCGTTATATTCATTATTTCACTTACCGGTCCAGGTTTACCTTCACACATGAACATTTGACCTAACAAAGCAAATTTGGTATTATCAGCTTTTGTTAGCAAAGGTTTATTATTCTAGAATAACAATAAAAGATTGTCAAGGTATATAAAGATAATCAAATATTGAAATATATTAAAATTTTATTGAAGTTAAATAACGGCTAACAATGAGATTTAAAAAGCATGTTTCATTCTACTACCTGGAACTCGTCAGTTGAATGCACCTACATCTCAGTGTTTATGTCAATAATGAAACTTGAACCTAATATCTTTTTTGCTTCAAATACTGGATCCATTATCCACTCAATTATCAAGTCCATATAGCCATTAAGCTAGTGCAATAAATGTGAATTTTATTTTTAATAGCCTGTTAAGGACTACAACTAATCAGTCTCTATTAGGCATATGTAAATCTTGAAGAAATTGCCTCAATATTGCTTTTCAATGATTAGCACTCCAAATAGGAATTCATCAAACTGTACTCTATAATATCAATAACAAGATAATGAAAACTACCATCCTTAAAAACAAATTTATGTTGAGAAATTAAAAAAATCTACATATAGTCAGAACATTTTTCTTATGAATCACGAAAAAATATTTCCCCAAATCTACTACTACGGACTAGATAACTTTTAAAAAGTGAGTTGGTCGAATCACTTAACTAAACACAATATCTTGTAATTTGATTTGCTTTCCGTCTTTATTCACTAACAATTGGAAATTTAATTGACAATAATAAATGATGCGTTTTCATGAACATTTAAGGGGTATAATTACAATAATTTAATTGGTAACTCCACCCTAAAATACAGGCTTCGGTGACTTGGATAAGTACTACGAATACCATCCAAAAAATTCCACATTGTTCACTATTTACCGACGTTGACGATGGCTAAATAGGAGGATAGGTGGTCAGCTTATGATGTAGTCCCGAGGTACGAAGGAAAGTAGTACAAAACTGGCATCTGTCGGTCTGTCATAACGGAACGAATATTGTAGAAGTTAGGACTGGTTTTTCGAATTACCATTCATTATAATTTTGTTGTATAATAACTGAGTAACTCGATTACCATGTATATGTATTTCTCTTAATATAAGCTTTCGGTAAACCCATTAACTGATTTAATCCAAGAAGTTAACAGCTACCTATTTGAATTATGTTGGTAAGTACCAGCGTCTTTAGCCAATCAGTAAACAATTAATCAATATTAGCACGCATGAAACTCGAATATACAATCCCGTTTTGGGCCTATCTTGAACGCTAGTCATATGCTATTAATAGCAAACTAACCCTTTTATGTACATAATTACCAATCTAGATTTAATCTTGTACATAATTATAGACATTTTAACTGAAAAAGATGGTAAGAATACACAAAACACGCTTACCTCTTTATCGTATAATCCAAATAACGAACCATTTTTTACAACACCACTTTCAGAAGAAATATTTATAACCATCTAAAAGATAAGTAGGGTAATTATCAAAAGGGAAAGGGGACGAATAAGTATTAAACCACAGTGAGTCACCATAAACAACTTTTAAAATAAAAATAAAGACTAAAATTATTAGCAATTAACGGAAGCAAGGACAAGTACTCAAATGCATCAACGCTATGAACAAACAAAACACAAGATTCTAGGCCACGAGTTTCTAAGTGTCTGGGACTAGTCCGTTGGATGTGGCATACCAGCATTGATGCTCACATTGAGACTCTAGCCCGGTACCTGATAATTCGAACCTCGATGCGTTATGTACAAAACTGCTGAGTTTAGATGGTCACTAACATTAACAACATATAGAATGTTTAACCGTAAGGGTTAGCCCCCAAATGTCCTTGTACAACCGATAGTGAAGGGCCCGTTCTGCCTCTTGAAATGCTCTCATATGGCCACGAGTACATAGCTACTGCCAGAGAAGTCCCACTTGCTGTTTTCTCCAACTACGTGTGTAATTTACAGAATCAAGAAGACGAAAAAAGAATGCCCGGTACGCAAATTTGGTTAATAGACACGAAGGATCCACTTAGGGGATTTGAAAAACCCTGATTCCAAACCAGTGGTCGACACATACTGCAAGGTACTTGGGGAATAAGCGGCGTATGAACCTATTGTTGATCACCAAAAACCATGGGACCACATCTAACGTTGCTCCATTGTCTTGTAGACTATAGGGGTGGCTCCTAGGGAAACCACCTACCTCAACTTGGGCGCCCGGGTAGCTTCCCGTTTCACATGCAAATCTAATGATTTATTGTATAGCACATAAATATATTAGTGTCTCTCCGCACCAATCTTTATGTTTAGGTAAATATAAGGGTAAGCATCACACCGCTGTTGATATTAAAGATTACAGACAACCTGTCTCCAACGGTGTATTTTCAAATAAGTTCAACCAAAAGCCTGAGATAGAGCAGAATCTGTATCTTGGGTTCTACTTCTAGCCATAGAACAAATATTGCTAAAAACTAAGAAGTAATTATCAAACTAATCTGGTCAGGTTGAACAAATGTTAATAACTGAAAAACTTCAATACATAACGGCAATAGGGAGGAAGTACAATCCTTAATATATACTATTTTAACACACCTTAAGTAGGGGAAATTTCATCATAAAAAGGCAGGTCATACCGGTTTAACTAGTTGTGAACGTAGGATGAATACGTCGGCCAAACATTGTTTCTATGGATCAGACGCTTTTTAGCGCCATATTTATATTCAACATTTTAGGTATTCAATAATGTAGTGCACTTAGAACGAGTTACGATTCTGAGTGAATAGTTCCAGAAATATAATATCATCAATATTGAAGCCGACTAGTACCTGGAGCTGTTTAACCTAAAAATTCCACACTATTTCGTCGGTTTTCACGAGAAATAAAATCATGTGGTTACATATATAGACATTTATTGGTTGCTCAAGCTAAAAATTTCATTTAGATTAATGAACACATATACCGTATCACATGACATTATAATAGGGACTATATTAAGATTAGCATTACCTCAGAGTTCGATCCAGTAAGAAAAAATGGTCCAGCACCAGCCCCGATTACAGCACCAGCAGCTACCCCGGCATTTCGAAATACGTCTAAAAGGTCATAATGCTTTGCCAATAAATCGGACAAAACGATGCATACCCTATCCTTTTTAGGGACAGGCAAAAGGTAATCAAAGCTGCCAACATCACAGATTATTGCTTTACCACTCAACCCTTGAGAATTATAAGAATAATGCAAAAACTTGAACACCTCGTAAGGTAAGGCCATATGGTGAACTTGTCAAATCAGGACAATCAACAATCGAGCACTTGACAGTTTCGAAACAATTCTTTAAATGACTTTCAAGTGCTGAGAAACATATGTTTAGATATTAAGATACTACCAGATGACACCTCGAGGAGAGAAGGTTTATGAAGCTCGAATAAGCTCATGATATTCAAACCAAGGTCACGGTTGGCAATAGGCGCCTTCTATTTGTCTCATTCCCTTATTGAACACCTTTTTGACGAGCTCATATAAACTGGTTGATTTGTGTTCCCTCACTTCTTATTTCCATATAGTCTCAGGTCCTTAGCAATTTTGGATTCGTATAGTTCCTCAAATACAATAATTCCAGTTAATTTGGTAGTTATATGTGGAACTGTGTACCAAATAACCTGAGTGAGTTTATCACAGGCCGGTAGGGTTTATGGAACTAGCAGCCACTATAGTGACAGGCATGAATTTGATAGGTTCCAAATTGTGAAGTGTGAAAAATAATTCGAATGCATAAGCGCTAAAAGAAAATGATTGTCTGGAGAAACAAGTAAGTAACAAATTTGTCACTGATGAAAACGAGTATAAGAATAACGGATAAGCAACGAACATAAGAAATGAGTTAGTTATATGTAATAATGAAGTGGAAGGTAAGTTACATGACATGCATCTGGTAAAGCTAGTCAGAGAAGAAAATGTTAATCTATTTCTGTCAAGTCTCCTCTTGAAGTTATCCATCGAGAAGACTGTGCTCACTTAGGCTGGGAGAGCATTCCGAGTGGAAGAAACTCTTAATGTGAAAAGATTAGAGCTCACCTGAGTTTTCAACCTTTTATATGCAATGTTTCAGAAGCTGCCTTCGGGGAGGGCGATAAGGTTCTGTTACGATGTTTGTACTGGGGTAATTTGGCGTACTTAGTATGTCATTTACAATTATCAGATCACTCCTCAGGATCCTACAGCCCAGCTTGACTAAGTGTCAGAGTTCATTTTTGCAAAGTTTACTCTTCGGCCCTATCACCGACTTTTCGCTCCTTCTCCATGCTTGTTCGTCAAAAACAATTCTATCGTGATAATCTATACCACCGACGTAGGCGATCTATGTCGACGATTGCGGTCCACCTGAGCTAGACGAGAACGATATTACACACACTGCCGCACAGGCTAGTCCATGGCGTACTATAGATTTTTCCGCGTTAGTCATCCTTGAACTTAACGAGGTTCGATAGACTGCCTGACAATCAGAAGTCTAGCATCTAACGTAAAAGCTGCTCAGCATGATGAGAGATGTGTCCAGAGCTCAGCGATGTTTCACTGGCCCTATAATGCAACATAACTCTTCTTATATAGTGAAAAGTAGCGTCCACAGTTTACTTCTCACTCTCTGTGGTTTACAGTCCAGAAAGGACACAGAGAGATATTAAAGTAGCGTGTGTCTGTTGTTTTTGTAATAAATATTGTTGCTAACTTTTGATGATGAGAACAATAATTTAACCGTTAAAAGTCGCTAACAACATAAATAATGTGAGGTGTAGAAGGAATGCCGTAAATGAAAAGGAATAATTTTACTTTCACCGCAGTTACAGCGTATCAAGACTTACGTTTGTGAGTTACTTACTTACTTACTTACGCCTGTTACTCCCAATGGAGCATAGGCCGCTGACCAGCATTCTCCAACCCACTCTGTCCTGGGCCTTCTTTTCTAGTTCCATCCAATTCTTGTTCATTTTTCTCATGTCTATCTCCAGTTCTCTGCGTAATGTGTTCTTTGGTCTTCCTCTTTTCCTTTGACCTTCAGGATTCCATGTGAGGGCTTGTCTTGTGACGCAGTTGGGTGCTTTCCTCAATTTGTGTCCTATCCACTTCTATCACTTCTTCCTGATTTCTTCCTCCACTGGGATCTGGTTTGTTCTCTCCCACAGTACGTTGTTGCTAATAGTGTCCGGCCAATGGATTTGAAGTATTTTGCGTAGACAACTGTTAATAAACACCTGTATCTTCTGGATGATAGCTTTCGTAGTTCTCCAGGTTTCTGCCCCATACAGTAGAACTGTCTTGACATTTGTATTGAAAATCCTGACCTTGGTGTTGGTTGACAGCCAGTTGTTTTGAGTTCTAGATATTCCTCAGCTGTAAATATACTGCTCTTGCTTTTCCGATCCGCGCATTCACATCTGCATCAGAACCACCCTGTTCATCAATGATGCTGACCAGATATGTAAAGGCTTTTACATCTTCCGAATCTTCTTCGTCAATTGTGATTGGGTTGGTGCGTGCTGTGTTGTATCGGAAAATCTTGCTTTTCCCTTTGTGTATATTGAGACCTACTGCTGCTGAGGCTGCTGCCACGCTGTTTGTCTTCTCCTGCATCTGTTGTTGCGTGTGGGATAGAAGGGCCAGATCGTCTGCAAAGTCTAGATCATCCAACTGCATCTTAGATGTCCATTGTATCTCGCGCTTTCCTTCAGACGTTGACGTCTTCATGATCCAGTCGATCACCAGGAGAAAGAAAAACGGTGAGAGTAAGCAACCTTGCCTAACACCGGTCTTCACTTCGAACGACTTTGTCAACTGTCCTCCATGCACAATTTTGCAATGTAATCCATCATATGAGTTCTGTATGATATTGACTATCTTCTGAGGCACGCCGTAGTGTTGAAGAAGTTTCCATAGTGTTGTTCTATCCACGCTGTCAAATGCCTTTTCGTAGTCAATGAAGTTGATGTAGAGTGATGAGTTCCATTCAATTGATTGTTCCACAATGATCCGTAGAGTTGCGATTTGGTCTGTACACGATCTATCCTTACGGAATCCTGCCTGTTGGTCTCGAAGTTGGGCGTCTACGCAGTCCTTCATCCTGTTTAACAATACCCTGTTGAATACTTTTCCCGGTATTGAGAGAAGAGTGATGCCTCTGTAGTTATCACACTTGCTGAGATTGCCTTTCTTCGGTATTTTGATCAGAATTCCTTCTTTCCAGTTTGTTGGTACTTGTTCCTCATCCCAAATCTTATTGAAGAGAATGTGGAGTATCCTTGCAGTTGCCGCTACGTCTGCTTTTAGTGCCTCTGCTGGGATGTTGTCCGGTCCTGCTGCTTTGCCACTCTTGATTTGTCTGATGGCCATGCTGATTTCTTCAATTGTTGGTGGGCTAACATTGATTGGGCGGTCCGTGGGTGCTGCTTCGATGTTGGGTGGGTTCAGTGGAGCTGGTCGATTCAAGAGTTCTTTGAAGTGTCCTACCCACCTGTTTTGTTGCTCTTCAATGTGGGCGATTACTTTGCCTTCTTTGCTTTTCACTGGTCGTTCTGGTTTGCGGCGATTTCCACAGAGTTTCTTTGTCGTGTCATACAATTGTCTCATGTTTCCTTCTCTTGCAGCCTTTTCCGCCGTCGTTGCTAAATCTTCCACATATTTACGTTTGTCGGTTCTGATGCTCCTCTTCACTTGTTTGTTTATTTCCGTGAATTCAGCTTGTGCCTTGGCTTTTTCTGCTCTTGTTCGGCTGGTATTGATCGCTGCCTTCTTGTTTCTTCTTTCTTGAATCTTATCCAGTGTATCAACAGTGATCCATTCCTTGTGGTGGTGCTTCTTGTGACCCAGGACCTCATGACATGTTGAAGTGATTGCCTCTTCGATCCCCTTCCAGTTGCTCTCCACAGTAGTTCCTTCTCCATTGAGTAGATCATGAAAGGCCTGGAACTTGTTGTTGAGGGCTATCTTGAATTTGTTGAGTTTGTTAGTATCCTGGAGAAAGGCCGTATTGAACTTTTGTGATATTGTCCGCCCCGTTGTCCAGTGCTTCTTGAGTTTCAATTTCATCTTGGCGACCAGCAAGTGATGATCTGATGCTATATCAGCTCCTCTCTTGGTTTTCACGTCCTCTATAGTCCTCCTGAACGTTTTGTTGATGCAAATATGGTCGATTTGGTTTTGCGTGATGTGATCCGGTGAAGTCCATGTGGTTTTGTGTATGCGTTTATGTGGGAATATAGTGCCGCCTATGACCAGCTTATTGAAGGCACATAGGTTTGCGAATCTCTCACCATTTTCGTTTCTTTCTCCCAGTCCGTGTCGTCCCATGATGTCTTCATATCCAGTGTTGTCCGTTCCAACCTAGGCGTTGAAATCTCCCATCAGAATGGTCAGGTCTTTTGTTGGGCACTTCTCGACGATTGACTGCAGCCTATTGTAGAATTGATCTTTAGCGTCTTCATTGTAGTCGTTGGTAGGCGCATAGCATTGGATGATGTTCATTGAAATGCCCTCTTTCTTTGTTGTCAGAAGGGCCATCGGCCTCGTAACTTCCGAAGGAATTCGGCTTTCATCATGAGGCGTCATAATTCTTCTAAATGAAGACCTTCTGACTCCCAGGGCAGAATTTAAAAGGTTTGAATAATTTTTTCTGGTTAGCGCTTTTTTAGCGAGTTAGTTTTCTACGGGATGGGGACGCTAACCCCATGCCCAACCCTCCTCCTTTATCCGGGCTTGAGACCGGCAGTAGCCCTCGGAGGGACTCCAGGCGGAGTTACGTTTGTGAGTTAGTAAACGATAAAACGATTTACACTGTACTATTTTGATGACTATAACAATCCAACCGTAGTAAGACCTAAAAAAGTGCTCACACTTTACATTGGTACAAGGGACATGACATTTCTTATAATCACCGTCTACAAAACAATTAAAATCTATGTCATTCTGTAAACAATATAATCATTCTAATGAACCTTGGAGGCGGGCAATAACAACTAGACAGAATATCCTTTTCAATAAATCCTCTTCAGCTCATATAGTTATATATCAACAATCATATAGCATTAACAATCTTATTTTATTTAACAATCCTAAATTCAAATGCTATAACGTTAAACCATTCACTTTTTCCCAAACCTCACAAATATTCCCATTATTAATTTGGATATATAGTTGTAGAACCTGAAGAGAAGTTATACAAAAAATATTCCGCCTTCACATATGAGTCTTTCGTTTAATTCTGTTATTCTCTAATAAGAATTAATTCAATAATTATATACGAGGGTTGCCGGCATGTAGATTTCATCAACATAATCATACCATGTTCAAGATGTTACGATATCACCTTGGTACCGACAAGAGGAACGCAAGTCAACAACTCAATAACAGGACAAAGCTTGGCTGCTTCTGTGTGGTCTAGCCAGCTAACTCGTAGACGAGATCAGAGACAACAGTGAAATACACAATTCCACAAGCAGCTGGGAAGAAGGATTGAATGACGGGGATTCAATTAATTAGTAGTGTATACAAATCAAATATTTCACTAGAATGCGTCACAAAATACCGCACTAAAATAGAAATCGAACGAATAAGGTTTAAGATTCTTCCAGGTAGGAAGCAGAAACTGAATGTAATGATGAAAGATTTTAGTGCGAAAATGAGAAGTTCAACATAATTAAACTACAGAGTTGAGATATTCAACACATCATACTACCGAAT